AATGAACCTTGACAATTTGAAGGAAAAAAAAACAGCAAACAAATAAATAAATGCAATTCACACAATTAAATTAATTCATTATCCAATAGGCCTTACCGAGACCACGACGACCCTTATAAAAATAAATAATAAATGATTCTCTTATAAAAAAAATATTTAGTTAATTTTTATTCATTTACTTCGTTAATACCCTTGACAATTGCTTTCATAGTTGCATGTCGTGGTCCGTCGACTGTTTTACCATCATCAACTGGTCCTTAAAATGAATAGCATTTAATTAGGTAAATTAATAATGAATGCAATAGAAAAATAAACCCCATGATGCCGAATAAATATCGATCAAATCTGGTTCATGTGCCATTGAATGAGCTTCAATAAGATCTATCAATAATAATAATAATAATAATATTAAATTTTATTTCTTTTTTCATACCTGTCATATAAGGTTGATCGAGCATTCGAATACCTATTGAATAGAGAATTTATATTCAAAATCCAACATCAATAAAATTTATTACCAGCTACCATAGAATCATAAGCAACACCTACACCACAAATGTTATTATCTTTTGCAGCAGCTATTTCACCAGCACAACGTGTTCCATGACTAAAGATAATTTATTTTCATATTAATGTATTTTGTATAAATATTATTTACCTATTGAACCAATCATCTGTATAACGTGGATACGGATATCGATCATTACTGCTAAAATCATAACTAGCATCAGCATTCTAAAAAAACAAACATTTTATTGAAAAGTTTTATATATATATTTTTTCTTTTTGGCATACATAATTATGCATAAGATCAGGATGTGTATAATCTAGACCATCGTCCATAATAGCTGTTGTAACATTTTTTCCCGTATAACCAAGTGCCCAAGCTTCTTCCACATTTAAATCAAGTCGAGGTTTACCACCAGCTTGTCCAACATTTTTCTAATATTTTATATTGAATTCAAAAAAAGTCATTGTAAGTTTTATCTTACCAAATACCATTGATATTGAAAATAAGGATCATTCGGTTGTTGATATTCAGGAAAAGCCTCTTTAACTTTATCCAATGAACGATAACCACGTTTGGTACGAATATGAGGTATTTGATGAATAGCTCGTTTTACCTGTCAATCAATAAAATACTTGATATCAAATTTTTTATTTAAATAGTTACAAGATGATGCTGTTGAATAAGTTTTTCTTGAGTAATATCTCGTTTCTTACGTGTATTAGGATGCGTTGGTTTAAGATCAACAAAATGATATAAATGTTTATCATTCAATACCTAGAAAAAAGAAAGAAATATTTATTTTTCACTTTTGTATTTGTTAAATAGACATACCGGTCCTTGAGAAACCATAGCATATCGTTTAGCAATACGCTTGGCAACATCAGGTTCAACATGATGATGAAATTCAATTAGCCAATCTTTCGTTATAGTAGGTTTTATATGGGAATAGACAGTTGACAAAATGAATGTTAATAAACATAAATTATAATAGAAACTCATTGATATAATCATTAATTGTTATTGATAGTAATTATATTTATTATTTTGATTGTTTTACTAGTTGAAGAACATCATTTCACACATCACTCATTTGCATTTAATCTCCGATTAATTTGTTATTGTGTAATAAAACAAAAAACTGTAGAGAAAGACGAGAGAAGAGGAAAAAGAATGATGGTTGTTCTAGAAAAAAAAACAATAAGTGCAAATGTTGAATGACAGTAGAAGTCGAACAAAGCTGAGAATTTATGTCGAGCAGTAGTTTTGTTTTCTCTCTATTCTCGTTTCTTTTTTTCATGTTATATGTTATTATTGTTGTTATTGTTGTTACTATCGTTCATCCGTTTTCATCATTATTGTATAAGCATAGAATAAAAAACTGTGAAGCGAGAAGCATCTATATTTATATTGTCGCATTGTGCATTCGAGTAATTCTAAAGAGACTCATAGAAGATAAGTGAGAATAAGGATAGCATAAAAAAATAAGATGAGAGATAGAGAGCGCGATGAAGAAGAAGAAAAAAGACAGGAAATGAGTTTGTTGCATATCTTCAAATAGTTATAAATATACAAAAAATATGTGAATACTGCTTTGTCTCACAGTTTTTCCTATTTTTTAAATCAACATACAGATTCCTTCGGATGAAGTTATTCATATAGAAAAAAAAAGAAGAAACAGAATCTGTCATTCTCTAATGTCATAAACAACAAGGTCTTTTGCTTGGATTAATGTGACAAGCATTACTGTTTTTACCTGTCATTCTCTATTTTCTACTTTGCGTGCATGTTAAATAGAACATAGCTTGTGAGAAGATTTAGCTAAAAAAAAAGACAAGACAAATAATAAAATGGTATATTCTGTATCTGATGAACGAAACACAAAAGAAAAATTTTTCTTTTCACACTTAAAAAAAAATATATTTAATTAAAAAGATGTAAAAAAAATCAAAAAAATCAATAATATCAAATGAAAGAGTATTTATTTAAATTTTAAATAAATGTAGATTTATCATTTATTTAAAGATAGTTTTATATTTCTAAATATATATATTTATATATAACTTGGTATTATGATTTTTAGATTAATAAAGAAGAAAATCTTTGACATTGGTTATGATGAATGTAATTATGTGCTAAATTACTACATTGCATTTCTTTATTATTGACAGTTGTCTGTTGAGTTTTTCTCACTTCTGGTTTACTTCAAATTATATATATAACATTTGTTTTGTTTTTTTTCATAAAGAAAACCATGTGAGTTTGATGAAGAATAATACAATCAACTGCAAAACACTTGCCGAAAAAAGAAAGAATTATCTCAATATCAAAATTAATAATAATGAAGTCTATTAAACTTATCAATGAAGCTAACGAGAAAGTCTTCTTAGATGTTCCCTTCCGTGCTTAATGATTACTTTTGTTTTTTTACAAATACTACATAATGTTCTAATAAAAACTGGGTTAACTAAGCTATCGAATTTTTTTCTAGAGGCCATATAGAGAACTCAACTTAACTGACCGCTAAAAAACAAATTTTATAATTTTGAAAAAGTCTTTACGAGATATGAGACTTTCAATATATAAACACTTTTCCGAGGATAACACGAATTTTTTTTATGAAAGTAAGACTAGTTGAGTTCTTTGTATGGACAAAGTTTCAGATCAAAACTCGAAAATACGAGTTTTTCGAAAACCTCGACACTGTGAACGATTTCTATTGGAGACATGGATATAACTTATTTTCTGTCAAAAACGAAAATTTTTTCATAGCAATATGTCTTTATTTTTTTTTCTTCAAAAATTAAATATATTTCCCAGACATAGAATAACACTTTTGTAAAATTTTGTCAATATCGGATTACTGGAAAAAAGCCGCAGCAACTTTATTGAAGATACCTTTCCGGAAAAGACTTAGCGTAAAAAGAATAATTATTTTTTTCAAACGGAAAATCTTTCTTATAGATCGATAGAGTAGAAGTTCTAGTTTCAAACTATGTAGGATTTATGACAAGTTACAACTTGACCAATGAACTGATCTCATTGAGAACTTTGCTCGTGCAAAATTTGAAGACAAAAATCGATTTTTCAAGAAGGAAGACTTCAAAAAGCAAACCATTCTAAACCTTTTTATCACTCTCTTAATAGGAATCAAAATTCTTTCAGGATTTATATTAAAGCATTATGTAGCATCTATAGGCAAAATGATTATTGAAATCAGCAGGGGACATCTGAGAAGATTCTTCCGTAAATTTTTTCTTCAGTTACTTGTCATATTCTTTGTGTAATTATCTAATTCATATTTGTCAACTTTTATTTTAATCAAAATCTATAAAATAATGTTTACATCCATTACATAAAATATTCAATCAATAGAAAACATTGAAACTGTATTTGCTGATTTTTATGATAGAATCAATATGAATGACATATGTTTATTTTCGTTAAGAGCATAAAGTTTTTCGTTCATGTTGAAATCACAGTTTAATATAAATTTAAATAAATCTTTTAGATAAAAAAAAAAAGTCATGTGAAACATCGGATGTTTCATAATAACCCTATGGGATTTATTGAGTTTATAATAGTTTAATATTATCGATTCTATTAATAGATTGAAAGGAAAAGCATCCGGATATTTGAACATGCAGTAAAACTACAAATAATCAGCAGTCTATCTCAGTCATCAAACCGATTATAAAAGGATCATGATAATGACATTAACAAACAGCATGACTACTGTTGACAAATTTAGCATTGCTTGAGATATAAAGCCGATCGAGTGCGACATCATTCATAAACATGAAAAAAAAATCTACCGATAAACATAAATGGTTTGTTACGAAGACCATTCTAACAAAATTGTCAAAAGGTTGTTTTTATGATTAATAATTGCAACTAGTGGGCATAAACATTATTTTTTTTAATACCTTATCACACGATTGACATTCACTTTTATATTTCGATGAAATACCTTTATACATAATCATTTGAATAGTACAATTGGAGAACACAAAAAAAGTTCTTTTTAGCTAATTAAGTAAATAACGGATTATCTAACTGTATAATATCAATTCTGTAAGGTAACATATCTTCAATAACATATGTACCATCTGTTGTACTTGAAAAACAAATTTATCTTAGTATTATACTCAATGTCATGATGACATTGAAATATATACATATGTCAACTGGTAAAAACGATCGAAACCTATTTTTCTTTTTTATATAGTTATTGCATGTTCTAGTAAACAACAAAATTACAAACTTGATAATAATCATACTATTTATATATCCAGCTAGTATATGAGATTATATTTTGACATTATGCCATATATATATATATACTTGACAATTATTCTTCTATATACATCTTTTGATAGGTTGATATGTCTTTTATCAGTTCCTTGCTTATGATAGATCTTACTTGATCTTATACTACAAGATTCTTTGTAATATGTTTTCTTTTTAGAAAATTATTTTTTCTTAATTTTACATGGATTCCTTTGTTCCATCAAATGTTCCAGTTGTTCTCATCACAGGTTTTGGTCCATTTCGATCAGTGCTTCAGAATCCAAGTTGGCAAGTAGCTAAAGCATTAAAAATGTATCTAGAATGGAAATGTCCAATACATATTATTCTTGAAGAAATCCATGTTACATATGATGATGTATCAACTAGAATACCTGATTATTGGCTAAAATATAATCCAACAGTAAGATTTATATTAAAAAAAAAAAAGCAAGAAAAACTTCAATGAAATGTTGTTTTCTTTTCTTTTAGTTAGTCATTCATATTGGTGTAGCAGTTGGAGCAAAAGAAGTTCAAATCGAACGATGTGCATGTAATGATGATTATTGTTATAAAGATAATAATGGCTGTTTACCAGAAGCCGGACGATGTGTTAAAAGAGATGCACCAGAAACTTTAACAACACATCTTCCAATTGATGATATTTGTGCTCAAGTACAACGTCGAACAAATATACCGGTGATAGTTTCCGATGATGCCGGAAGATTTTTATGTGAATTTATTTATTATCAGTCATTATTCATTGATCCAAAACGAACAGTTTTTATTCATATACCTGAATTAGATGAAAATTATAGAGTTGAAAATTTAGCTGAAACAATTCAATTAATTATTTATGAATTACTTCGTTATGTTGATCCATTACCAAGTTTAAATCAAGATGGAAATTATTTAATAAATTCTAATATGCGAAAAAATTTAGACGCATGTGAAATGAAAAATTAATATTCGATTTTTTATTATTTTTAGATTCCATTTTCTTTTTATGTAATTTTATATTTACATATCCTTCTTAATTGTACCAACAAAAATTTATTTTTTCCTTTATAAAATAAAAAAGAAATTATATTTTACAATGACATGAAACTATTCAAATAAAAGATGATCAATAACAGTACATTGATTTCAAAAAACAGATGATGTATTCAGAACATATTGGATGAATACTTTAATACTGTATTATTTATCGAAGTTTTGTGAAAAAGTCATGGTTTACGGCCATTGTGTCAATCTAAGAGCCCAGTTTGAGCTAGTCAAGATATTATAAAAGTAACTGCTGTAAATTTTTGATTCATCCAAGTTTGGACTAGTCCAGACTCGGATTTTAGATTGTACTCTGGCACATAAATACCTGTTTGAACTGAAACTTTTTGAAAATCATAAAGACCATAAGACTTATTATTGTTGAAAATTCCTTGTTGCTATAGTTTTTTTTTTAATGTTGTACAATAGGCTGACAATTCAGCAAAATGGAACATGAATTGAGAAGAGAAGCCAAATGAAACGAACCCTTTTTGAAGTTTGTATCTACTCTATAAAATCTTATTAATTGCATTTGTATACTCAACAAAGTCTAAAAATCGAAAGTGTCTTCTGTAACATATATATTCCCATTTATTGAATTAAAATAATATGCAATATCAAAATATCAAGCTTCGTGAAACACAAAACCGTCCTTGAGATTGACAAAAAAAAAACGGCAAACTTTTGAACGTAATATGGATTTAAAACTTGAGTAAGGTCACTTTTTTTTTCTCCATTACAAGTTACACAACAAGCTACAGACGTATTCCATATAAAAGCATGGGCCAGTATAAATATTTGCTTCCAGGATATAACACTAAAAGGATGCAATATTTTAATCAAAGCCAAGTAAAATTAATTTTCATTATACTTTGGTTTCAATTTAAACATTCCAACTATACTCCTATATCATAATGATAAACTTGATTCATCTAACAAATCCATATTTTAATCGTATTTTCACATCATTTGCTTGGTCGAATCGATATCTGAATCTTTTTACTAGTGTAACAAGCGCCAAGATTAAAATATATTTCAGTTGGCGGTTGAACCAATAGTAAATAGACCAGAGTTCAAATTAAAAAAAAACAAACCTAATAAGAATAATAATAAAAAAAAAAATAATATATAGGACTTTGAAAAGCATCACTTATGTTACTACTGTGAGATACTGTAGATATACATTCAATCTACTACAGTATAATACAATAGTAATATTAATGAGCTTATATGATAAAATATTCTTGTAGATTTTACTTGAGAATTTTTCTTTTTTGCTGATGTTCAAGAGTTTCGTCTATGTACTACGACCTAAATCGTCACACGCCTAAACAGATTCCGGTGACAATTGAGGCAATAGTATGCAGAGAATACTCAGTATACAAAACTAAAACAAAATATTAATATATATTTTAAAAAAAACATTACGTAAGAACAGCAATCATTGATAACAAAGTGTCAAAAATAATATCATACAAATTGTTAGCTGATACGAATGCGTGAACAACATATCAATTATTTATTTATATATCTATTTAATTAGAATTAAAAATTGACCAATATCTTATTCTCAAAGAAGATATATATATTCAATAGAAATACTAATTACGTCCGGATACAGAAATATATATATTGAAAAGCGCCCTCTAACCACATGAAGATATTAAACCGTATACGAGAAACCTCGAAAATTTGATTTTCCAAGTTTTCCATACTAACAAAACTAAATAAGCGAAGTCATATAAAAAAAAATAATCATTGCTAAAAAGAACGTTAAAAACATAGAGACATCATAAAATAAAAGATTTCTTTGTAATCTACATTTGATCAATATACAAAATAGTTTTATCAATCGACAAACAATTTTACCATTTCAAATAAAAAATATTCCGCTTACCAAGCAGCGGTACATATTCTTGATTCTATCCAACGATCGAAAGCTTCCAAATAATAAATCGCTTTAAACCTAGAATTATATTTAACCCCGATAGGAACTAGTCATTAACTACCGATGATTCGAGCACCTGAACCGTTGTTACCATATATCTTAGTAACAAAGACTCAGTTGCTTGAAGCCGATTTATCACTCAGCGAATTTTTCGTGTGAGCTTATTAAACAATTATTTCATCAAAGACATTACATAGTCGAAAATATTCTGAATATGTATCAATCAGAATTAAGCATACTACAATGAATTTATCTGTAGCAAATATTTTTCTACCTAGAAGACTTTTTCACAACGACTGTAATTGACTCGTAGATCATAAAAATCTCTTACTGATTTCTTATCTTGTGAATAAAAAATAAGTTGTTCGTTCTACAAATCATTTTTCTTTTTCAAATTCCTTATTACTAAAAAATTCAAAATATGTTCATTGATTGTGATTCATATAAACATTATCACCAATTTTGTATGAAAAACAATCTATTTATAAATGCCCAAAAATTAATTTTTCTTGTATATACCAAATTTTCACTTCATTCCAAGCAATTGATCGATGAAATTACGATCAATTACAAAATTAAATAATTTATTTATTTAAAAAATAAAAATAGATAAAACTCGAATGAGAAAAATCCATAGCCGAGATTTTACCACACGTACACATACGAATCATGTGAAAGCTAATTAGATGCTAAGTCACTGAGACATATGTTTAACATGAGTAAATTCTCTTGTGGCGATTATCGCCTACCCATATTTGTTATTGTATCAGTTGTTATATTGATGAATTCATTCTAAAATGAATTAAATCATAACCTTGAAAAAGTTCTACAACAACAAAAAACAGAAACAACATACCATTGTATTTGTTTTGAATGTCAACAGACAATAACACGTGTAAGAAAAAAAATATACATAACCGTAGCCTTGAATGTTGAAATGAACGCGTTGAGGTCATATTCATTTCGTGTTAATGGCAAGAAAACACGCATACATTCTATATATGTATATATATAAATATATATGAATTGCTTCATTGTACGAGCACAGTCGTCGGATAGAGAAGAAAAAAAAAGGAAAAAACGATGCTATTCGTATAGACTGCTGATTTGATCATCTTGTAGTTGATCGTGGTGGTAGTAGTAGCAGACGACGACGAATTGTTAGAACAGAAAGAAAGAGAAAAAAAGGAAGAAATGAATCATATAATCTTTCTCTCATCGCGTCGTCGACGAAAAAAAAAACAGGCACTGCAACACAACGGAATGCAGTCAAAAAAGAAAGAACGAGGAGAAACAAACATATTCGCCCCACCTCTCGTTGGTCGCTGAGAAGAAAGAAAGGGTTGTTAAGAGAATATTGTTTCTGTTCTTTTTTTCGAATGGCCTCCATTGAATTACTTAAAAAGGGCATCGTAATATCAAGTTATTTTTTTTTGTCATGTATAAAAACAACTTTCAATGATTTTTTTAACAATAAACAGAAATATTTTTTTTTCTTCTACACTCAAACGATATATCTATTTGAAGATTGGTCATTTAGAAAACCAATAGAAAAATAATTGTAAAAGCTTTTTTTAATAATCTTATGATAAATATTTGTTGTAGAATATTTCATGCTTATCAAAAGCCAAAAAGAAGCAATACGGTTTGTGAGGATGTAAGATTACATGCTGTGAAAAAATATATATGTAAAAAAAAAAAATAATGTTTTGTGAAATAAATACATGACTGATGTACGTGAATGTTATGAAAATAATAAAAATAGTGTATATCAATTATGTGATGAACCACGTATCGTTGTATGATTTGAATATGCATATGTTTTTGTGATTTTTTTTTTGAAATTGAATCATGAGTTATGGTACATATTGCTGAAATTCGCATTAACTTATGGTCAATATTCGTATTTATAAATAAGAATGTAATTGAAGTGTTATAGTTATAAACGCTTATTATGTTTGAAATGTGTATGACGGTGATAATTACATATACATAGTGAATACGTGGAATCGTTAGTAAAAATTTGGTAAATTTTACGCGTCATTGTAAACTGTTTTCACATTTGTTATTATTTGTACGGTTGATATCAATCTGTATGATAGAATTGCTTGACTTTTAATAAAACAACAACAATATAGATATAATACAACTAACTAACTAAATTTCTTAAGGTATAAAATGACTCTTACTAATTAATATTTACTTGTAAACCTTGCAGTCTTTGTTTCTATATCACATTAAATATAACGAAGTTAGAAATTTCCGATTTATACATAAAATTTGTCGAATGTAAAAAGAATTCTTATTATTTCATTATAATTGAACATTCCAGTATTATACATCAGCATATTAAAAAAATCGAATTCATGGAATCCGACTAAAATATATATAATCTAGATGAAAGTTCTGCATCATAGAATTCACGAAAGAACAAATGATCATTAACAGCATAATTGTTTCAATAGAGCAAAAACTCATGTGCACAATGGTTTGCCGATGAATAAATTAATTGAGAATAATACATTACCCTTCAACTTTATTTTTCCGAAGTATCAATTAAATACTCGTTCAATATAAATAATGATCATAAAGGTATAAGAAAAGAACTATACCATACGCAGCATAATTGTCACTCATCAATATAATAATAAGATATATGAAGTATCGATTGTTTTTTATTTTAAACTAAAAAATTAATATCAATGAAGATCAATTTCCATAGAAGACATTATAGTTTAATATATGGACTTGACAAAATAGTGAAACAAAACAAAATCAAAAATGTTTGTACTAAAATTAATACATATCAGGCGTTAATGCAATCTTTTATTAATTCATTGAATGTTTACCAAGTTAGTTTTATTTCTTCTCAATAAAAATATATCGATGAATTTAGTTATATTAAAGTAATATTGAACGTGTCTTTACTCTTGTTTATTGTTTGATTTTTATTTACAACATTTATTGTATGTAACGACCGCTAATGAAAATATATTTAAGCGAATTTTTTATCAACTTGTACGGTTGATTAACTTTAGATGGACATCGAATGCATTCTACTTCTGTACGATTGCTTATTTTTCAACAAAACTATTATTATAATTTAACCGAATGATTCATTGGTTTATATGATTTTTCAACTCATTATGTGTTTACTTTTGCTTAAATATAGGGAAATAATCAAAATAAATTGATTGAATTATCCAGTGTAGAACTTTCTCATTCGAGGGTATAGTAGCAATATGTTTGTAAAAGAATATATCGAACTGAATCTACAAAATGAAATAATTTCACAATTGGATATAGATTATAAAAACATAATAACGTATCCATAGAAAAATACCATAGACGCTATATTTCATTTCTAAAACATATTTGGGGATTCCCCCATCTTAGCAAGGGTGTACCAGGGTACATCGGAATATACATCCACATTCTACATCAAAGATGGAAACGGTGCAGAATAATCGAACTCGTCCAGTCGGTTTAAAAAACTTTTCAGACCGGTAAAAATGAGTAAAAATTCACCATTTTCTTTTAGGTCATTTACCGTCGGTTAAAGAGAGAGAGACTCCAAAAACCACTCGTTTTCCTATTTTTTTGCTCATGTTTTTATTAGTATTGAAAAAGAACAATTATAATATTGNAGAATACATTTTATTTGAATCCATGGAAAAAAATTTTTTCGACCTGCCTGGGGGGTACCACAGGTCCGAAAATTTTTTTTTCAAGAAATTTGAAAAAAAACGTATGAAACATAATCAGGACCTAAGTCTATCTTCAATCGAATAAAAACTAATCGATTTTGTTGGGGGCAAAAAAATGGCCTTATCCGCCCTCGTCCTTTTGTTACTCTTGCTGTTACATAGTGAAAAATTTCGTGCTTAGATTCTTACCATAATTATATGACCCCATAAGTGTAATAAAACTTTTTCGTCAGGCTAAATAAAAAGAGAATTGTGACTTCTATCGAATTGGAAACAATTTTCAATTGAATTTTAACAGTTTTCCAATCGATTTCGACATTTTATTTTTATAGTAGAAAAGATTTCGGATGTTTTTCTTTCTACTATGATAGCTTAGCTCGATTCTACATTAACACATTTTATTCTTGATAAGATCCAAGCAATAGTGTAAAATCTGACCAATATAAATCTGTGGCCCCGGAAAAAAAGTTTTTGTAGGTAGTATACTCCTTCTTATGTTTCACTAGATAGAGGAATGCTTAATTGAACCTGACGTGGTGATTCGACATGTTGAAGCAGTTGTTTATTAGTGATAGAATAGAAAATTATTTCGCATATTTGTTTTCGAAAGCTGCTAGTAATACGTGTCCGCAGTACTTCTTGAACTAGTCGATCATTTTTATTTATAGAGTTCATTTGCTTTTATTGTTTTGCAGAGAATTGCATGCTGAATCTACTGGAGAAAAGTTCGTTCCGAAACAATAAGAAGTGACAGAAATATTCAGGAAATACTGAGAGTTTCATTCATTCTGTTGCATCCGCTCTGTAAAAAAACAGATGTCATATTGAACCTTTAGCGTTCTTGTATAATCTGGTTCTATGTCGAACTCTTTGTTCTACTTCAAAAATAGTTTCATCTGCATAATAAAAGACCTATTTCACATACGCAAGTGAGCGCTGTTGTTGACATTACGGTCTTTTTTGAAAACATCGCTAACCGAAATCATCAAATTAATCTCTTGCCAAAAGAACGAATACTACGATAGCGCGTAACGAAGCTTTATGATCTTGTCTATAATTTTAGTCATCAGACTTCCCGTAAATTGAAAAAAGATGGACACTCTATTCTATCTCCAAAATAATCGCTGTTTACTGATCAAATCATCCCAAACAATGACAGCAACAACTTATATTACAAGAAAAACTCAATGCATCAGATTGCATGTATTTTTTTTATTGTACTTTTTTCGGTGGCAAAGCATAATAAAGTGTTTAGAGTCCGGCAACTACGTTACAATCAAAAACACATAAGCTTATGACAATATCTGTAACATTCTTTGATGAAAATACTACAGATACATGCAACTTTGAAACAGCAATCATAATCTCATCATAATGATAAACATAGAGCTTAGATTCGAATATATTGTTAAACGTAATACGCATAACAATTGGGATAAACAAAGACAATCTTTAAACAAGGAAATGATCTTATTCAAACATGAAAAAAAGATGCATTTTGCCGATTTATTCTAGCTGCTAAAGAGGATGACAGTTTTCGTTGTTTTTATGATGATGGAAGTTTTTTTTTTCACATTTAGTAAGTGCCTTTGATGCTTCACTATTGATTTCATCTTTCAATACTGTGTATGGCCAGTATTCGAAGTATAAATAAATTTATCTGTTATATTTGGTGTTTTTTCCAGGGTCTTGATTTTTTAATTTATTTAAATTTAGGCAATTAATCACTATGACACCCTTTTATAGAGAACGTTGGAGAACACAAGTAGCTCGTCAACAAGATAACAGGTCAACGTAACAACAACGAACGAATTCTAAAGAGATCAATAAAAGGTATGAGTGTGTTGTAGAGTGCCGAATCGAACATGAAGATATTATGAGCAAAAGAACAACATTGAAACGACAATTCAAATCAAAGATAGCCGAAGATAATGTGTATCCATAGATATCTTCCGAAATATCCAACATGTGACGCAACTTACTACCGCATGACTAATTCCTTCGTCAACCATACACTTTACTGCTTATCAATGCAGTTCATGGCCCATTTCTCAGTTTTCTTTTGATATCATAGTAATTGATCTGGTTCTGCCTCATTAATTAGAAAAGAAGAAAAAAACAAAAAAATATTACCCACCAACAGGATGAAAATACAACTTTGGGAGGTGTGAACATTAAATGGGACTGTGTGCCGTATTTTACTGCTTCATAATGTGATGCATACATGAAGAAAATTGATTTAAAGGTAGGCAAGTAAGTGGAAAATTGCAATACAAAATTGAAGAAGAAAATAGTTTTGGCTTAGATAATTTGCTAATGAATGACTTTATGATTTCCAAGTTGACAGCGTATAGTAATGTAACGATTTTCAATAAGATTTCTACGATCTTCATGTAGACCAATAACGTACGATAAGATCGGGACAGAGCACATTCTTTTTATGTTAACGAATGCTCTATGTATCGCATAGTTGACTCATTTATTCACATGTGACCATCATAGTGTTGAAAGACAGCACGTTCATCGGCAATTATTGCTAGTTCGTCCCATTACAGCACGATGACTCAATCCTTTAAGATTTCCTCATATGTATTCATTTAATTATTATTGTGTTTTAATAGGATTGCTATCCAGCAAAAATGACAATTACACTATCAGAATCACCACCTGATAATTGTTACACCATCTCGACAAGTATCAGTCAAGATGAAATCAAGACTAGCACGTTTACGAAACGAATAACTGGTTTATGGCATCGGATAATCGACTCGTTTAAACGTCCACTCCCTTCTGAAAATATCTCAATCGATATGAATGGATCGAAACAAGAAGAAAATCAAAGTGATTATGTTGAAAAGGAAGAAAGTGGTTTGCATCGCAAATTAAAAAACCGACACTTGCAAATGATTGCCATAGGTGGATCAATTGGTACTGGTCTCTTTGTTGGCTCTGGCTCTGCTCTTGCCTCTGGAGGTCCTGCTGCACTCATTCTTGATTTTACTATCATCGGTTTCATGCTTTTCAACGTTTGTATGGCTCTTGGGGAGCTAGCTGTTACTTTCCCTGTCTCTGGTTCTTTCGCCATATACGGTTCTCGTTTTCTCGATCCCGCCTGGGGATTTTCTATGGCCTGGAATTATGCTATGAGCTGGCTAGTTATCATGCCACTTGAAATAACAGCTGCTGGAATCGTGATAAACTATTGGACAACGTCCGTCAATATTGGCGTGTGGGTCACTGTTTTCCTTGTTGCTCTTCTCGTTATCAATCTCTTCGGTGTTCGAGGCTACGCTGAAGTTGAATTTTATATGTCTATCATTAAAGTTATTGCGGTTCTTGGATTCATCGTTCTCGGTATTGTTCTTGCAGCAGGAGGTGGTCCAAATCATCAGTATCTTGGCGGAAAATATTGGCATAATCCCGGTCCGTTTGCCGACGGATTTAAAGGAGTGTGTTCCGTTTTTGTCACTGCCGCTTTTGCCTTTTCGGGCACAGAACTAGTTGGACTGGCAGCAGCCGAAGCGGCCAATCCTCGAAAGACCATTCCTCAAGCAACAAAGCAAGTATTTTGGAGAATAACGATTTTCTATATTGTGTCGTTGACACTTATCGGTTGTTTGGTGCCTTATACATCTTCCCGTCTTCTCAATGGGTCATCAAGCTATGACGCGTCTGCATCACCTTTCGTGATTGCTATTGAAGATGCAGGCATCAAAGTGTTACCTTCTATATTTAATGCTGTCATTCTTTGTGCTGTTCTCTCGGTCGCTAATTCGTCTGTCTATGGAGCATCACGAACGCTGTGTGCACTTGCTGAATGTGGTCAAGCTCCGAAGATACTAGCTTATATCGATCGTAAAGGTCGTCCGCTCTCTTCCGTAGCTCTGTCGATGCTCCTAGGGCTCATTGCTTACATCAATTGCGCGGAAGTGGGTCCTGAAGTGTTTAATTGGCTACTCGCTCTCTCGGGTTTGTCCTCCTTTTTCACATGGGGCTCCATATGCGCATGCCATATTATGTTCCGATTGGCGTGGAAGGTGCAAGGCCATACTTTGGATGAGCTAGCCTTTGTGGCACCTTTTGGTGTCTGGGGAAGTTTTCTTAGTCTTCTTCTTAACATTTTGTGCCTCATAGCTCAATTCTATGTAGCAGTGTTTCCTCAAGGTAGTTATCCAAGTGCAAAGGCATTCTTTCAAGCATACCTTGCTGCTCCTATTGTACTTATCTTCTATGTCGTATGGAAAATATGGAAGAAATCACCATTTATGCGGCCTAGTACCATAGATCTCGTAACTGGAAGACGTTTAGTTGATACACAACAGTTTATTGCCGAAGAAAGAGCTAAGCAACTGACCTGGCCGGCATGGAAGAGATTGTATTTCAAGTTCTGCTAAGCTATTTTCCACTTTCTATTGACTTCATTTTCTACATACTGTAGTTAGTAGTAGCGTCGAAAGAATGATCGTCTTAACAATTTCACTAACTTTCGTCACACGTATTTGACTAGCAATTATGACAAATGCGTTTTGAATGATCTGTTTATTCGATCACTGAATAATGAATTTTGG